AGTTCATTGGGAGCTGGGAACATCATGACTGTGTGGAGATTTATACATGATAATGGATAATGATTAGATTGCAAGTTCTTGGGACAGGTTCCTTTCCTCCATGTTTAATCCTGTGTGTTCCTTCATTGTACTGAAAGGGTCAATCCACTTAGATCGAGTATTTCAACTTTTGGTGGATGTTTGAGAGGTGAACCTACTGACAGTCTCTTCTATCTTTTGGGACTCTATTGGTGAGATCCCTGTGCTGGGTTCCCAGGTCTTCACTACTGCCATGTCCATTATAAGGGGTTCCCGCCATCCCTGTGCTGAGTTCCTGGGTTGGTACACTTGCTGTGCCCATTTTGTGGGGTTCCTACCATCCCTGTACTGATTTGTCAGGTCTGTGCACCTGCTGTGCCCATTATGAGGGATTCCCACATCCCTGTGCTGAGTTTCCAAGTCTGTACACCTGCTGTGCCCATTATGATGGGTTCCCACCATCCCTGTGCTGAGGTCTTGGGTCTGTACACCTGCTGTACCCATTATGATGGGTTCCCACCATCCCTGTGCTGAGGTCTCGGGTCTGTACACCTGCTGTGCCCATTATGATGGGTTCCCACCATCCCTGTGCTGAGTTCTCAGGTCTGTACACCTTCTGTACCCATTATGAGCTCTCATCATCCTTGCACCAAGCTACTATCTATAGTATGTCTGGTGTTCTCACGGCCTCTGGATCCATATTTGCACCTTGCAGCGTTGAGCCTCCCGCCGGCCCCCAGCAGAGAGGTGAGGGTAATGAGAGTGCAGAGTTCCCAGGTCAGTACAACTGCTATGCCCATTATGAGGGGTTCCCATCATCCCTGTGCTGAGATCTTGGGTCTGTACACCTGCTGTGCCCATTATGAGGGGTTCCCATCATCCCCGTGCTGAATTCCTGGGTCTGTACACCTGCTGTGCCCATTATGAGGGGTTCCCACCACCCCTGTGCTGAGTTCCTGGGTCTGTACACCTTCTGTACCCATTATGAGAGGTTCCCACCACCCCTGTGCTGAGTTCCTGGGTCTGTACACCTGCTGTGTCCATTATGAGGGGTCCCCATCATCCCTGTGCTGAGTTCTTGGGTCTGTACACCTGCTGTGCCCATTATGAGGGGTTCCCACATCTTTGGAACAACTAAAACTCCCAGGTGGACAGGAACAGAGTTTGGAACAGAGTCATACCATCAGCGGTTGTGATTGAGACCCGGCCCATGCACCAGGGGGCCCCTGCAGCCAACCACGGCAGGGGAAGTCCGTGGACAGGAGGGGTTGATTGGTGCCACGTGGGGCAATTAAAAGAACCTTGAATAGATCTCTATGCAGCAGCTAGACACCGTGGGAGGGAAAGGAGGAGAAGCATCTTTCAGTTGCTGCATGGAGAGCCATTCAGGGAAGTGGACTCCCCCTGCTGAGGGTGGCCGCACGGGCCCCCTGGAGCATGGGCTGGGTCACAATTGCGACCTCTGATGGCACGCTTCTTTTTCTATCCACCTGAGATATTTGGCTGTTCCAAAGATAGTGGGAACCCATCATGATGGACACAGCAGGTGCACAGACCCGGGAACTGGTAGCCAGAAGGCCTGCTCACCCCAGGCAGGGCCCAGTCTGGGTACTCTTAGTGTCCTTTTTTTACATGTAAGCCCACCGCTTTCATCCGGCAACTCAGACTGACGTGGTAGTGGGGGGGGGGTCAACTTTTGCATCAGGGCCTACAAGCTTCAAGGTACGCCTCTGATGATTGAGAATCATGGCGGGGGGTCTCATTACCATCATATCAAAGATTTATATGAATATAAAAATCTATCTATCCATCCAGGGGCGGACTGACAACTCATGGGGCCCCCGGGCAATAGGGGATCTTGGGGCCCCTGTGTCCTCGCCCACACTCAAACCACACCCAAAAAAGCCTATGAAAGGTACCAGGGGCATCTCATGGGGTTCCCCTACTGACTCCAGGCCCCTACTGCCCAAATGGTCAGTCTGCCCCTGTATCCATCTATTTAACAATTACCCGTAGAAACCTTCACAACTTAAACCCTTCTCTTTTCCACTCTGCAACTGACCGCCTCTATAACAGAATCTCTCCCCTGTCCTGCCCTGACCTGGCCACTGCTGTCTACAACAGTTTTTGCTTTCATCCACACTAGACTCATTTGCTCCTCTAACAACACGAAGCATCAGGCCCGACCATTAAAACCTTGGCAGACTGACAACACCAGAAATCTTAAACGACATAGTTGTGCGCTGGAGAGATTGTGGCGTAAAACCAAATCTCAACAAGCTTTAACCCTATATAAATCTGCTTTCTTAACATACAATTCCTCCCTCCATGTTGCCAAACAAGCCTACTTTGTCACTCCCATCAATAGCTTGTCATCCAGTCCTCGTCGTCTCTTCTCTACTTTTAACTCTCTACTTTCTCCACCTCCACCTCCACCCAGCACCTCACTCACTGCTTACGAGATTGCAAATCATTTCAAAAACAAGATTGATGCAATTCGTAGGGGCATCGCCACTGCACAGACATCCATCCCATTTAGCATACCTTATACTAAACCTCCCTCAACACTTTCCTCTTTTGACCTTGTTACTACCGAAGAGGTCACTAAGGTTTTCTCAGAAGCCCGTCTCACTACCTGCCCCCTGGATCCTGTCCCCTCACAACTACTACAGTCACCCTCTTCTTCTATCCTATGCTCCTTCACTCACATCTTCAATCTCTCCCTCTCTACTGGTGCCTTCCCTCCCCTCTAAAGCATGCGCACATCACTCCCATACTTAAAAAGCCCTCCCTGGACCCCACCAACCTGAACAACTTAAGACCCATCTCCCTGCTCCTGTTTACCTCGAAACTCTTAGAAGTCTACAATCGCCTGAGCTCCCACCTCACTGACAGCAACCTTTTTGACCCTTTACAATCTGACTTTCGTTCACTACACTCCACTGAAACTGCCCTACTAAAACTCAGTAATGATCAACTAACTGCTAAAACCAATAGCCACTACTCCGTACTCATCCCAACCAATGGCCACTACTCCGTACTCATCCCAACCAATAGCCACTACTCCGTACTCATCCCAACCAATGGCCACTACTTCGTACTCTTACTACTTGACCTCTCTGCGGCTTTTGATACTGTTGACCATCCCCTCCTCCTCACAAAACTCCTCTCTCTTGTCCTCCGAGACTCTGCTCTCTCCTGGTCCTCCTCTTACCTATCACAGCCCTCCTTCAGTGTTACCTATAACGCTGCCTCCTCCTCTTCGCTCCCTCTTTCTGTAGGGGTCCCCCAAGGTTCTGTCCTTGGACCCCTTCTCTTCTCCATCTACACCTCCTCCCTTGGTCACTTGATAAACTTCCATGGCTTTAAGTACCATCTCTATGCTGATGACACACAAATCTATCTTTCTACTCCTCACCTCACCCCTTCAGTCTCCACTCGCATTACTAACCTACTAAGTGACATATCGGCATGGATGTAACTCCACTTCCTCAAACTCAATCTTTCCAAAACTGAGCTCTTAGTATTCCCTCCAGCCCGTGACCCCTCCCCTGACTTCTCCATCAAGATCAATAATACAACCATCAGTCCCTCGCTACATGCCAGGGTACTAGTTGTAATCCTAGACTCCCATCTGTCCTTTCAGTCCCAAATCCAATCACTGTCCAAATCTTGTAGACTTCACATCCGCAACATCTCCAAGATACGGTCGTTCCTAACCTCGGAAACTACTAAGCAACTTATCCACTCCCTGGTTATCTCTCACCTTGACTACTGTAACTCCCTCCTTATTGGCCGACCTCATCGCAGGCTATCCCCTCTTCAGTCTATCATGAATGCTGCTGCCAGACGCATCCACCTTACAAACCGTTCCATATCTGTCTCTCCTCTCTGCCAATCCCTCCACTGGCCTCCACTCAGTGTCCTCCATCCCTCTCTGCCAATCCCTCCACTGGCCTACACTCAGTGTCCTCCACCCCTCTCTGCCAATCCCTCCACTGGCCTCCACTCAGTGTCCTCCACCTCTCTCTGCCAATCCCTCCACTGGTCTCCACTCAGTGTCCCCCACCCCTCTCTGCCAATCCCTCCACTGGCCTCCACTCAGTTTCCTCCACCCCTCTCTGCCAATCCCTCCACTGGCCTCCACTCAGGGTCCTCCACCCCTCTCTGCCAATCCCTCCTTTCCATTGCCCAATGGATAAAATTCAAAACATTAACAATAACATATAAAGCCATTTTTATAACTCTTCCCCCAATTACATAACCAATCTTGTCTCCAAATATCACCCAAACCATACTCTCCGCTCCTCCCATGAAATCCTGCTCTCTAGCTTCCTTGTCTCCTCCTCCCATGCTCATCTCCAGGACTTCTCCAGAGCTTCCCCCATCCTCTGGAACTCTCTACCCCAATTTATCAGACTATCACCTACTCTGCCCACTTTTAGGCAATCTCTGAAAACCGATCTCTTCAGGGAAGCCTATCCTGCCCTCAGCTAATAATGGAATCTTCTACTCCTACTGCCAGTCCATCCCCCACTTTTTGTACCACCAGCCCCTCCCTCTTAGATTGTAAGCTCCCAGGATCAGGGCCCTCCCAACCCTCTTGTATTGAACTGTATTGTTGCTGTATTGTCTCCCGTTCTATTGTAAAGTGCTGAGCAAACTGTTGGCGCCATAAATCCTGTATAATAATAATAATTTATGATCAGTCTATCTATCTATCTATTATCTATCTATCTATCTATCTATCTATCTATCTATCTATCTATCTATCTATTATCTATCTATCTATCTATCTATCTATCTATCTATCTATCTATCTATTATCTATCTATCTATTATCTATCTATCTATCTATCTATCTATCTATCTATCTATTTATAGTCATCTTAGAGTATTTGTCTGGTTTTGAGCTGTGGTGTGTTTTGAATTTGTCACTACAACAGGGAAATCTAATTGGTCTCCTAATTATTGTGCAATAGGTGACTCAGGAGTGTCTGTATCACCGGGAGAAGAGGATGTCTATAGATCTGGTCCATGACGATGTGGAGAAACAGCTTCTGCAGGTGAGATGAGGGCTCTCCTACAGTAAAAAGTGCCAGCTGCCAGAATTATTGAGGGGACGGGATGAACTGATAGAAAAAAAGCTTGGAACAAAATAGAGGCAGTGCCAGGAGCAAACGACCGCACAGTCCAAATTAGGTGCTTTTGGCAATGCAATTTTTTTTATATACAGATTTATCCACTGTATGGTCAAAAGTTGGTAGACACCTGACCATTACACCTATATGAGCTTGTTGGACATCCCATTCTAAAACCAAGGTGATTAATATGGATTTGGCTCCCTTCTGCAGCCACAATATCCTCCAATCGCCTGAGAAGGCTTATCACAAGATTTTAGAGTGGGTCTGTGGACATTTGTGCCCATTTTTTAGGTCTGGTACTCAGTGGTGTATTTATGTTTAATGACTTAGTGAGTGGATGATTGGCCTGAATTGGTACATAGAGACCACAGTCAGGTTTAAGCTACAAATAGCGGCCAAAAAGTTCTTCAGTCAGGTAAGTGGGTCCTAAAAACAAGCACAAAACCCTGACACTTCAAATATACCTCAATGGGGTTACAGGTCACCAAACTGGAGAAACCTCAAAGTGCCATAATCCCAAGTTGATGGACTGCCTGATTGGTACATTCACCCTTCTTGAGTCTCATTATTACACTTGGTAATGCCGTAGTGCCGTAACCCTGGATGGGATGCCTTAATTGGTACATTTGCTTTTCCTAAATCTCTTTGTAACAAATGTTAATTCGTTAGTGCCATAACTGCAGGTGGATGGATGTCTTGAATCAGTACATTCGCCCTTCTTGGATCCATTCGTTATGCCTATTAATACCTTAGTGCTGTACCTGAAAGTGGATGGACGTCCTGAATTGATAGATTCACCCTTCTTGGATCACATCACTGAGACCATTAGTGCCTTAGTGCCATAACCCCAAGTGGATGGATGGCCTGAATTAGTACATATGCCCTTCTTGGGTCCCTTCACTATGACTGTTAATGCCTTAGTGCCAGAAACCCAAATAGATTGAAGGCCGTAATTGGTACATTCACACTTCTTAAGTCTCGTAACTTTGACCCTTAATTTCTTAGTATCTTAACCTTAAGAAGATAGATGGCCTCAATTGGGATGTTTGCCCTTTTTTGCGTCCTTTCATTTCGACCTTTAATGCTTTAGTGTCATTATTCCAAGTGGATTGAAGACTATAACTGGTACATTTGCTCTTCTTGAGTCCCTTCACTACAACCAGTAATGCCTTAGTGCTGTAACTGGATGGACTGCCTGATTGGTACATTCACCCTTCTTGAGTCTCATGGTAATGCCGTAGTGCCGTAACCCCTAACTGGATGGGAGGCCTGAATTGGTACATTTTCTTTTCCTAAATCTCTTTGCAACAAATGTTAATTCCTTAGTGCCATAACTGCTGGTGGATGGATGTCTTGAATCAGTACATTCGCCCTTCTTGGGTCCATTCGTTATGCCGATTAATACCTTAGTGCTGTAACTGAAAGTGGATGGACGTCCTGAATTGATACATTCACCCTTTTGGGTGACATCACTAAGACCATTAGTGCCTTAGTGCCATAACCCCAAGTGGATGGATGGCCTGAATTAGTACGTTTGCCCATCCTGAGGCCTTTCATCATGACCATTAATGCCTTAGTGCCGTAACACCAAGTGAATAGACGACCTGTATTGGTACATAGTGACCATAGTCAGGTTTATTCTACAAAATAGCTGCCAGAAAGTTCTCCAGTTGGGTAAGTGAGTCCTAAAATCAAGCCACAAACCCTGACCCTTCAAATATACCTCAGTGGGGTAACAGGTCACCAAAGTTGCTTGTTAAAGGCAATGCTTCAGTCCTGTCAGTGAGTAGGACACAACATGATGGTCAGAATACACCTCAACGAACTTACCTGAGAACTTAGACAGGTAGGTTTTTGTCCCCTTGAGTACATATTTTAATATGTTGTTATTTGTCTAAATAGGAAGTGGATTCCATCAAGTCTTGCCAGGAGAGAATGAGGAGACATCTGGACAGGACAGCAGCACAGCTTGCGTAAGACACGCGACTGCTTCGCCCATGTGTGCTTGTATGTGTATTGGGGATGGGTAGAGTCGGAATAGCCGCAAGGCATCCTGTTAGGAGCCTAGAGCACAGGGGATGTCCAAGGGGGGCAGCTACAACCTTCATTCTCCTTCAGTAAACCAGGGGGATAGTGAAATTGGTCATTGCTGTGCACCTAATTTCTCTGGTCTCTGGTTTATCAATGTCATTTAAAGGGATGAGTGGGGTCCAAAGCTGATACCATGCCTAGGGTCCAATTCTCCCTTAATCAGTCTCTGAAGGAAAGGGGTTGATGCCAATGGGCTTTTATGTAATAAAAAAACACATCATTATGCATTTCATGAGTGTTCTACCTGCACCGAACACTTGTGGGTTGATTTACTAGGCAAATAGGCTGTGCACTTTGCAAGTGCTATTGCCCTCTTCAAGAGCATTCTCTCTAGTGTCTAATAAATGAGGGGAAGCTCTGCTGACATTCATCATCCAATCACGTGCAAGCAAAAATACAGTTTTATTTATGTTCCTTGCATGTGATTGGGTATTCTTTACAAAGTGAAAATTCACCTCCTTTACTAAGCTCTGGAGCAACTGCCCTTTCAAAGTGCTCAGTCTAGTTGCTGGTAGTAAATAGACCTCTATGTCTCAGCACAAAGCAATTCCTTTCAGTGGAGTTTATAGGCTACTTCATGCAGGACTGTAATATACAATACAGATGTACTCAGGGGCGGACTGACAATTTGGGAACTCGGGCACTGCCCGAGGGCCCGGGGTCAGTAGGGGGCCCCATGAGATGCCCCTGGTACCTTTTTCATAGGCTTTTTTGAGTTTGGGCAAGGACACAGGGGCCCCATGATCCCCTATTGCCCGGGGGCCCCATGAGTTGTCAGTCTGCCCCTGGATGTACTGTATATTACATTGTATGTACTAAGTTCTGGAAGGTAGGTATACATAAATGATCCATCATACACAAATAAAGCTGCAGTGGTTGCCATATAATCTCTACATTAGTCTTTCTCAACCTTTTTAACATGCAGGAATCCTTGGCTTTCTAGGCTCACGAAAACCCTGCTAATAATTATTATATCTACAGCTCGCTGTACATTAGTGTGGTCGTCAGTAGGAAGAATCCCCCCTTACAGATTGCTAAGGAGAGCAATGGGGTCAGTGCTTACCTATCTGAGAGGCAGGAATTGCCCATAGCAACCTCTGGAGGAATCCTGGTTGAAAAAGGCTGATCTACAGTACATGTTACTGTAACTTGTATCCTTTATGGCATACCCAGCCTTTGCCCCCGAATCTTAGAACTTAGGCATTCACACATGTGACGCTAAGACTTTACAATTAGAAGAACTGAAATCTTATGAAAGGGGCGGGCAAGGGACAGTCAGGTTGGGGAAGAGTGAGCTAGGCAAGATTGACAGTTACAAGCATGACCGCCAAAGGCAGAGGCATGATGGGACTTGTAGTTTCACAACAGCTTGGGGGGGGCGTCATTTTGACACCCCTGAGCTAGATGATGCTAAATGTCCTCTAGTCCAGAGTTAAAGCCAGTTCCACCCATCTTGCTGCAGCTTCTAATGCACACTGTCAGAAGCTCACAGTAGGGGAGATTTACTAAAATTGGACCACTCAGAATCCGGCGCAGCTGTGCATGGTAGCCAATGAGTTTCTAACTTCAGCTTGTTCAATTAAGGTTTGGCAATAAAACCTGGAGGCAGATTGGTTTCTATGCACAGCTGCAACAGATTTTGCACTCTCCAGCTTTAGTAAATAGCCCCCAGTGTGCTTTGAAATAAAAGTCATTTCAGTACAGGAGAGGAGCCTATACAAATGTCCATGACCGTAGGTAAAGCTAGGATTGGGCTTGGAATCATCCACTCCTTTTCTACATATAGGGTTTTTCTGCATTTATTTCTTTATGAGATAAGTCATTCCTCAGCTTAACTACTCTTGTCATAAAGTTATGATCCTATGCTAAACATTAAGAATCAATCTCTTCCCTCTGGCATGTGCAATATTTTTTTTTCTGCTGGGAGCCCTGCCTTCCTGGGCCCACAAGTAGTGTACTTTCACCCCAGCAGTTATTGTCTGTGGTAAACATTCATATGCATTGTAATAGTCTGACAACAAACATAACATTTTCAGTTAGGTGGATCCATGGTTGTCCTGGTATTGTACACTGATGTGATGTCTACATGGACAATCACAGTCACCCTAAACACCCCTAAAATGATATTTATCCCACCTGTGAATGCTTTTAGTTCTGGATCTTGATCTGCAATCCTAAGATCTCATCTGTGTCTGCAGTTCAAATAGGGCAGCTCAGCACGAACTGGAGAGGGACATCAATGACAAGCAATCGGCCTACCGCATCGATGACAAATGTCAGAATCTGCGGAATACCTCTGATGGTATTGGTTACTACCGAGGAGTGGAACGAATCGATGCAACGTATGTGAATACCCTCTGTCTGTGGACTGCATAGGAGTGTCTGCAAGTCCCTCAGCAACTCCTGTTTTTATGTCCCTCAACATCTCCTGTCTTTATGTCCCTCAACATCACCTTATCTTGTGTCCCTCAACATCTCCTTGTCTTTCTGTCTTTCAGCATCTCTGGTCTTTGGGGGAAATATACTAAAACTGGAGTGTACAAAATCTGGTGCAGATCTGCATAGAAACCATTCAGCTTCCAGTTTTTATTATCAGAGCGTAATTGAACAAGCTGAAGTTAGAAACTGATTGGCCAACATGCACATCTGCACCAAATTGTGAGTGCTCCAGTTTTAGTAAATCTCCCCCATTGTGTCCCTCAACATCTCCAGTCTTTGTTTCCCTCAACATCTTTTTGTATCTGAGTGTTTCGGCATCTTTGGTCTTTCTGTCTCAGCATCTCTTTGTGTCTCTGTCTCTCAGCATCTCCTGTCTTTGTGTCCTTCTTCATTTCCTTGTCTAAGTGTCCCACAACATCTCCTTGTCTTTGTGTTTCTCAGTATTTCCAGTCTTTGTGTTCCTCTGTATCTCCTTGTATTTGTGTTCCTCAACATCTCCTTGTATTTGTCTCCCAACATCTCCTTGTCTTTGTGTCCCTCAGCATCTTATTGTCTTTGTGTCCCTCGACATCTCCTTGTTTCTGTGTCCCTCAACATCTCCTTATCTCTGTGTCCCTCAACATCTCTTTGTCTCTGTGTTCCTCAACATCTCCTTGTATTTGTGTCCTAACATCTCCTTGTTTTTTTGTGTCCCTCAACATCTCAGTGTATTTGTGTCCCAACATCTCCCTGTTTTTGTGTCCCTCAGCATTTCTTTTTCTAAGTGTCCCTCAACATCTCCTTGTCTTTGTGTTCCTCAGTATTTCCAGTGTTTGTGTTCCTCGGTGTCTCCTTTTATTTGTGTCCCAACATCTCCTTGTCTTTGTGTCCCTCAGCATCTCATTGTCTCTGTGTCCCTCAACATCTCCTTGTCTCTGTGTCCCTCAACATCTCCTTGTCTCTGTGTCCCTCAACATCTCCTTGTCTTTGTGTCCCTCAACATCTCCTTGTATTTGTGTGCAGCATCTCCTTGTCTTGGTGTCCCTCAACATCCCCTTGTCTTTGTGTCCCAATATCTCCTTGTTTTTCTGTCCCTCAGCATCTCTTTGTCTTTTTGTCCCTCAACATCTCCTTTTCTTTGTATCTCAAGGTATCCTTGTCTTGGTGTCCCACAACATCTCCTTGTCTTTTCTGTCCCTCAACATCTTCTTGTCTTTGTGTCCCTCAACATCGCCTTATGTTTGAGTCCCTCAGCATCTCTTTGCCTTTGTGTCCCTCCTTGTTTTTGTGTCCCTCAGCATCTTCTGTCTTTATGTCCCTCAGCATCTCTGTCCCTGAAACCTGGGCCAAGTTTTCCGATGAAAACATCCTGAGGTCACAAAGTGAGAGAGCTGCTTCTGCCAAGCTCAGGGAGGATGTAGAAAATTTACTAAATGTCACTTCCAATGAGATGTGGAACCAGTTCAACCGAGTGAACGTCATGTTCACCAACCGGATCTCCGAGACTGCGGATGCCAAGAACAAGCTACAAAGTCACCTAGCAAAGGTACAAAGTTGGGCTTGTGGTCAGTAATGAAGTGGTTGGGGGCAGGTTATCTACAGCAATTCAGAGTCTTGGTGGCCCATAGACAGCCAGATATTCACAAGCGATGCTTCTGATTTTGAGTATGTTAGAAAATCTCTCTTTGATCAAAGCCCAAACCTTTTTTCTTTTATGGAAGGATTGAAGGATCAAAAGTCTTGCATTGGTAATTGTAATGATCAGAATAGGGTAATGGAGAGTAGTAGAAAGATGGACCAGAATTCTTCAGTAGCACAGAGAATTTCAGAAGAGGAAAGATAGATAGTGGCAGGAGCAGAGTCCCCCAGCAGAGTGTTTCAGGAGAGAAGAGTTATAGAGGAAGGAGCGGAGTCCTCCAGCAGTGCAGAGTATTTCAGGAGAGGAGTTATAGAGGAAGGAGCGGAGTCCTCCAGCAGTGCAGAGTATTTCAGGAGAGGAGTTATAGAGGAAGGAGCGGAGTCCTCCAGCAGTGCAGAGTATTTCAGGAGAGGAGTTATAGAGGAAGGAGCGGAGTCCTCCAGCAGTGCAGAGTATATTTCAGGAGAGGAGAGTTATAAAGGATGGAGCGGAGTCCTCCGGCAGTGCAGAGTATTTCAGGAGAGGAGAGTTATAGAGAAAGGAGCGGAGTCCTCCAGCAGAGCAGAGTATTTCAGGAGATGAGTTATAGAAGAAGGAGCGGAGTCCTCCGACAGTGCAGACTATTTCAGGAGAGGAGAGTTATAGAGGAAGGAGCGGAGTCCTCCAGCAGGGCAGAGTATTTCAGGAGAGGAGAGTTATAGAGGAAGGAGCGGAGTCCTCCAGCAGTGCAGAGTATTTCAGGAGAGGAGAGTTATAGAGGAAGGAGCGGAGTCCTCCGGCAGTGCAGAGTATTTCAGGAGAGGAGAGTTATAGAGGAAGGAGCGGAGTCCTCCAGCAGCGCAGAGTATTTCAGGAGAGGAGTTATAGAGGAAGGAGAGGATTCCTCCAGCAGCGCAGAGTATTTCAGGAGAGGAGAGTTATAGAGGAAGGAGCGGAGTCCTCCAGCAGAGCAGAGTATTTCAGGAGAGGAGTTATAGAGGATGGAGTGGAGTCCTCCGGCAGTGCAGAGTATTTCAGGAGAGGAGAGTTATAGAGAAAGGAGCGGAGTCCTCCAGCAGTGCAGAGTATTTCAGGAGAGGAGTTATAGAAGAAGGAGCGGAGTCCTCCGGCAGAGCAGAGTATTTCAGGAGAGGAGAGTTATAGAGGAAGGAGCAGAGTCCTCCGGCAGTGCAGAGTATTTCAGGAGAGGAGAGTTATAGAGGAAGGAGCGGAGTCCTCCGGCAGTGCAGAGTATTTCAGGAGAGGAGAGTTATAGAGGAAGGAGAGGATTCCTCCAGCAGAGCAGAGTATTTCAGGAGAGGAGTTATAGAGGAAGGAGAGAATTCCTCCAGCAGCGCAGAGTATTTCAGGAGAGGAGAGTTATAGAGGAAGGAGCGGAGTCCTCCAGCAGTGCAGAGTATTTCAGGAGAGGAGAGTTATAGAGGAAGGAGCGGAGTCCTCCAGCAGTGCAGAGTATTTCAGGAGAGGAGAGTTATAGAGGAAGGAGCGGAGTCCTCCAGCAGTGCAGAGTATTTCAGGAGAGGAGTTATAGAGGAAGGAGCGGAGTCCTCCAGCAGTGCAGAGTATTTCAGGAGAGGAGTTATAGAGGAAGGAGCGGAGTCCTCCGGCAGTGCAGAGTATTTCAGGAGAGGAGAGTTATAGAGGAAGGAGCGGAGTCCTCCAGCAGCGCAGAGTATTTCAGGAGAGGAGTTATAGAGGAAGGAGCGGAGTCCTCCAGCAGTGCAGAGTATTTCAGGAGAGGAGAGTTATAGAGGATGGAGCGGAGTCCTCCAGCAGCGCAGAGTATTTCAGGTGAGAAGAGTTAGATCGAGGAAGGAGCAGAGTCCTCCAAGAGATGTAGAGAATGGTTTTACGGAATGATTTCATTTTCATAAACTCTACATATCTTTAATCTCCTGAATGTACCTTTATTGTTTGTATTACTGAGAGTTCTGTTTATTTAGGTGGAGGTGTTTCTTCCTATTACCATGGGAGGATTTTACTGTATCCATACAGCAGCTTTGTTTTGTATTTCAGTGCAAGGAGGATTGTAAGATAAAAACCAAAGAAAAGAAAAAACCTACATGGAAACACAAAAATTAACTATTGAATAAAATCTCCAAGGGGTTTGAAAAGGTTAATAAATCCATGCAGAGGTGGGAACCCCCTTTAAGTAATGTTCTCCTCTCTAGCATAGTGTAATCATACACCTCCAGGAGAGCAGCAGACATAAAACATCTTGGGCTCCGGCCAGGCAGGCGAGGAAATGGAATCTTCGGAACTTTTGCACAGAATCTGAGTGCGTGCTGCAAGGCATCCAAAATGTTTCTGAAGATTCTAGTCCCTCTTGGTTACTCCATGTGCATATTAATGAATTTGTATGCCTTTGTAAGCTGCCGCTTTACAGCTGGAGGTAGAAGAATAGACATGATTCTTCCTAAACCATTAAACAGCGCCTTCTATCACATGTGCACCGTGGCCAACTGTTAAAAATGGTACTTATGTAAGAAATGCTAACATTGCTCAACTGCCATTGGCTGGTATTTTTAGCTTGAACTTTGGATTCTTCATTCCCTTAATTTTCATAACTTTTTAGAAAGCCGTGAAGACAGATATTTACAAGTTTTTCTGACTTTTTTTTTTTTGTAGACTCTTCAGGAGATCTTTCAGACAGAGATGACGATTGAAGCCATCAAAAAGGCCATCAAGGACAAAATGGCTCCCATGAGAGTAGCCCAAACACGTCTGGATGAACGCACAAGGCGCCCCAACGTGGAGCTGTGCCGAGATACTGCGCAACTACGGTACCTGCTACTGACACTTTAGCCCAACTGGAACTAAAATGTTTCAACCATGTTGTCCATAGAGAAGGGAAAGACAAGGCCTTTTCCAGCTTTTAATGCCCATCTGTGTACTTTATTGGAGAGATTTCTCCTCAATCTTTCCAAGGGGGAACAGACCAAAACACCTTGTGAGGAGAGATTAGGATCTCCGACAATGACATAAGACATACAGTATGTGAGGCCAAAACTTTTAGTTTTGGACAGAGTAGGAAATAACCAAGATTAGAGATGAGCTTGGGTCCTGCTCTGGGTTTGGTCCGAACCCATGGTCAGTCAAACCTCAGCTATGAGGAAAGATTAGAGGAACTGAATTTTTTCTCTCTTGAGAAGAGGAGATTAAGGGGGGATATGATCACCATGTATAATACATAAGGGGGGGATATGATCTCCATGTATAATACATAAGGGGGATATGATCTCCATGTATAATACATAAGGGGGGATATGATCTCCATGTATAATACATAAGGGGGATATGATCTCCATGTATAATACATAAGGGGGGATATGATCTCCATGTATAATACATAAGGGGGGATATGATCTCCATGTATAATACATAAGGGGGGGATATGATCTCCATGTATAATACATAAGGGGGGATATGATCTCCATGTATAATACATAAGGGGGGGGGGATATGATCCCCGTGTATTATACATAAGGGGGGATATGATCTCCGTGTATAATACATAAGGGGGGGATATGATCTCCATGTATAATACATAAGGGGGATATGATCTCCATGTATAATACATAAGGGGGGGATATGATCTCCATGTATAATACATAAGGGGGGATATGATCTCCATGTATAATACATAAGGGGGGGATATGATCTCCATGTATAATACATAAGGGGGGATATGATCTCCATGTATAATACATAAGGGGGATATGATCTCCATGTATAATACATAAGGGGGGATATGATCTCCATGTATAATACATAAGGGGGGATATGATCTCCATGTATAATACATAAGGGGGGTATGATCTCCATGTATAATACATTAGGGGGGATATGATCTCCATGTATAATACATAAGGGGGGATATGATCTCCATGTATAATACATAAGGGGGGATATGATCTCCATGTATAATACATAAGGGGGATATGATCTCCATGTATAATACATAAGGGGGGATATAATCTCTATGCATATTACATAAGGGGGGATATGATCTCCATGTATAATACATAAGGGGGGATATGATCTCCATGTATAATACATAAGGGGGGATATGATCTCCATGTATAATACATAAGGGGGGATATGATCTCCATGTATATTACATAAGGGGGGATATGATCTCCATGTATAATACATAAGGGGGGATATGATCTCCATGTATAATACATAAGGGGGATATGATCTCCATGTATAATACATAAGGGGGGGATATGATCTCCATGTATAATACATAAGGGGGGATATGATCTCCATGTATAATACATAAGGGGGATATGATCTCCATGTATAATACATAAGGGGGATATGATCTCCATGTATAATACATAAGGGGGGATATGATCTCCATGTATAATATATAAGGGGGATATGATCTCCATGTATAATACATAAGGGGGGATATGATCTCCATGTATAATACATAAGAGGGGATATAATCTCCATGTATAATACATAAGGGGGGATATGATCTCCATGTATAATACATAAGGGGGGATATGATCTCCATGTATAATACATAAGAGGGGATATAATCTCCATGTATAATACATAAGGGGGGATATGATCTCCATGTATAATACATAAGGGGGGGATACGATCTCCATGTATAATACATAAGGGGGGATATGATCACCATGTATAATACATAAGGGGGGATATGATCTCCATGTAAAATACATAAGGGGGATATAATCTCCGTGTATAATACATAAGGGGGGATATGATCTCCGTGTATAATACATAAGGGGGGGGGTATGATCTCCATGTATAATACATAAGGGGGGATATGATCTCTGTGTATAATACATAAGGGGGGATATGATCTCTGTGTATAATACATAAGGGGGGATATGATCTCCATGTATAATACATAAGGGGGGATATGATCTCCATGTATAATACATAAGGGGGGATATGATCTCCATGTATAATACATAAGGGGGGGATATGATCCCCATGTATAATACATAAGGGGGGATATGATCTCCATGTATAATACATAAGGGGGGATATGATCTCCATGTATAATACATAAGGGGGATATGATCTCCATGTATAACACATAAGGGGGGATATGATCTCCATGTATAATACATAAGGGGGGATATGATCTCCATGTATAATACATAAGGGGGGATATGATCTCCATGTATAATACATAAGGGGGGATATGATCTCCATGTATAATACATAAGGGGGGATATGATCTCCATGTATAATACATAAGGGGGGATATGATCTCCATGTATAATACATAAGGGGGGGATATGATCCCCATGTATAAATACATCAGTGATTCATATAGTGAACTCGGTGTAGTTATTCACCCTGAGGTCATCACAGAGGACAAGGGGGCGCTCTTTACGTCTGGATGAAAAGAAATTTAATCTTCAAACACGGAAAGGTTTCTTCACAGTGAGAGCTGTGACAATGTGGAATAGACTCCCTCAAGAGTTGGTTGTGGCCAGCTCAGTGGATTGCTGTAGGAAAGTCCTGGATTCTTTCTTGGATACACAGAATATAACTGGATATAACATTTATAGGTAAAGTAGATCCAGGGAATATCCGATTGCCTCTCGGGGGATCAGGAAGGAATATTTTCCCCTGCAGGAGCAAATTAGATCATGCTTTGCTAGGTTTTTTTTGCCTCCCTCTGGATCAACTGTGGGTGTAGGATTATAACTTTTTTTTTTAATGGTTGAACTGGATGGACTTTTGTCTTTTTTTCAGCCAGACTAACTATGTAAACCCAGAAGGCAGCTGTCAGTGCTAAGCCAACAAACTATGCTTGGGTGAATCCCTGGCCTGCAGCTTCACTTACACAAATTGCAGGGATGCTTATGACATCAACGACCTATTATGGCCACATGTCCATAGGTCCATAGGTCAATGATGTAACAAGCACCCCCAACCCTAAAGCCATGGGGAAGGGAATCCCCCACCTGAAGTTCATTGGCCCCAGTACTAACAGTTGTCTTCCAAGTTTGACCAACGAATATTTTTGCTACTCTGTAGCTCATCCCTAAGCAAGATCCTTGCCAATTTTTTGCCTGCCAGTAAGGGGAGATCTCTCCAAACAAGCTGATATCTCCTTGTGGACAGTTGTCACCAGAATAGGTGTCAGTCTTGGAAGATTTTCCCTCAACTCCTGCTGCACTGAAAGCTCAAAGCTCCACCGACATATGTCACAGCTACACGCATTTCTAAACCACCGACTGTTCCTAGCCCAGAGCTGAGGACTATGGCCACCACCTCTAGCTGTGGATTATAAAACAATAAAATGAGGACAAAAACAGGAGCTGGTCGTTCTTCTCTAGATGCCAGAAAGCAATGGTAGCGTCCATATTCTAAACATTCCAGGTTCACTTTTGTATTGCCTTGCTGTTAATGAACTGATATTCTTGGAACACCAGGGTCCGGACCAGGGGCGGACTGACCATTTGGAAACTCAGGCACTGCCCGAGGGCCCGGGGTCAGTAGGGGGCCCCATGAGATGCCCCTGGTACCTTTTTCATAGGCTTTTTTGAGTTTGGGCAAGGACACAGGGGCCCCATGATCCCCTATTGCCCGGGGGCCCCATGAGTTGTCAGTCCGCCCCTGGTCTGGACCCATGATTAAGCTGGCTTCATATTGCCAATCCCATCTATCACACAGGCAGACAAACAGGGAAGTTTCACCACACGTGTATTGGCATCCTCCTGCAAACTGTCCAACCATGCACCATATAGAAAGCTGTTCCAACTTCTCAATCTTTTACCCCATAACCTTTTTTTGTTCCTCTTCGCAGTCTTGTCCATGAGGTACAAGAAATCGATGACACCGTTCAGGTGTTGCAGCAACGCCTCCGAGAAGCTGAAGACACCCTACAGATGCTGGTTCATACCAAGGCCAACCTCGAACATGACCTGTCCATCAAAGCCAACTCCCTCTTCATCGATCAGGAGAAATGTATGGGAATGAGGAAGAGCTTCCCCAGTACCCCTCGCCTGGTTGGGTACACATAGGTGCCCGCCTTGCATTGGTTTGTTTTGCATTACGGGGTGACGTGCTCAGGAGAGATGACCAGAGATCCTGGATTTTCTTGATCATCCCTTATGCAGTGTGTTGGTTTGGCGTTGTCTGGTTTGATGCATACGACAATTCAGAATGTTTATGTCTATAGGATAATTATAAATAAATCGTTAACTTTTTATAAATGTAAACTAATTTTTCTAAATGTGTTCCACCAAAGCCAACCCTACATACAGGGTGCAGGTTGTGTGATTACAGGGTGCAGGTTGTGTGCGTAAAGCATTTGTACAGTCTTGTGGCGGGGACAACAGCCAAGCACCGGCGTGCTAGAGCACCGCATGTATCCTGAAGGCAGTGACTAAGCCTCAGGACTGGTCTGGTGCTCATGAGGGTCTGTTGAGGGCAGCCAGAAACAGGTGGTGCAAGGTCACTACCAGGGGCGGACTGACAACTCATGGGGCCCCCGGGCAATAGAGGATCATGGAGCCCCTGTGTCCTTGCCCACACTCAAAGCACACCCAAAAAAGCCTATAAAAGGTACCAGGGGCATTTCATGGGGCCCCTTACTGACTCCGGGCCCTCGGGCAGTGCCCGAGTGCTCGAATGGTCAGTCCTAAAGCCAAATGCCACCTAATTTTTTTAGATGACCATTCAATTTTGGAAAATAAGAAAGCTGTTGTGGCTCACCTCCCCTTCTGGTGCAGTCCCCTGCAGATGCACCACTCCATGATTCACTTACCTGAGTGCATGGTGTCATGGATCTCCCTCCTTTGGGGCAAAGAAGTGCCACCCCTGCAGAGAGGTGCCAACCTCCAACCGTAATCGAGCATATCTAGCAACTGGGAAAGATAATCGTTTTATTAGTAACCTCCAGAATTGGTGTTAGTGCCCATAATATTCCCCCCTTTCATTGGTGGTCAGTGGTAGTAATGTTAAACCCCCTAGCATTGGTGGTCAGTGTCAGGCAGTAATAACTCCAACATTGCTGCTCTGTGGCAGGCCAAAGCTGTAAAAACTTCCTCCCCCAGCATTAGTGGTCACTTGCAGGTTCATACTGTAATAAACCCCATCACCACCAGTGATCAGTGGCAGGCTCAAGCTGGAATATCCCCTTTCCCCCAGCGTTGATGGTCAGTGGAGGGCCTGTAATAACCCCCAGCATTGGTGGTCAGTGGAGAGCCTGTAATAACCCTCCAGCATTGGTGGTCAGTGGAGGGCCTGTAATAACCCCCAGCATTGGTGTTCAGTGGAGGGCCTGTAATAACCCCCAGCATTGGTGGTCAGTGGAGGGCCTGTAATAACCCCCCAGCGTTGGTGGTCAGTGGAGGGCCTGTAATAACCCCCCAGCATTGGTGGTCAGTGGCGGGGGCCTGTAATAACCCCCCAGCGTTGGTGGTCAGTGGAGGGCCTGTAATAACCCCCCAGCATTGGTGGTCAGTGGCGGGGGCCTGTAATAACGCCCCAGCATTGGTGGTCAGTGGAGTGCCTGTAATAATTCTCCAGCATTGGTGGTCAGTGGCAGGCCCAGGCTGTAATATTTTCCATCTCCCAGTATTAGTGGTCACTTGCAGGTTCATGCTGTAATAAACCCCATCACCACCTTCAGTAATCAGTGGCAGGATTAGGCTGGAATATCCCCCTTCCCCCCAGCATTGGTGGTCAGTGGGGAACCTGTAATAACCCCCCAGCATTGGTGGTCAGTAGGGGGCCTGTAATAACCCCCCCCAGCATTGGTGGTAAGTGGAGGGGGCCTGCAATAACCTTATCAGCATCAGTGGCCAGTGGCAGGCACAGGCTGTAATAACTTCCATGCCCCAGCATCGGTGGCCAGTGGCAGATGCAGGCTGTAATAACTTCCATGCCCCAGCATCGGTGGCCAGTGGCAGGCTCAGGCTGTAATAACTTCCATGCCCCAGCATCGGTGGCCAGTGGCAGGCTCAGGCTGTAATAACTTCCATGCCCCAGCATCGGTGGCCAGTCGCAGGCTCAGGCTGTAATAACTTCCGTGCCCCAGCATCGGTGGCCAGTGGCAGGCTCAGGCTGTAATAACTTCCATGCCCCAGCATCGGTGGCCAGTGGCAGGCTCAGGCTGTAATAACTTCCATGCCCCAGCATCGGTGGCCAGTGGCAGGCTCAGGCTGTAATAACTTCCATGCCCCAGCATCGGTGGCCAGTGACAGGCGCAGACTGTAACAATACCCACTCGCATCCTTCATCCCTAGTATTGGAACACTCCCAGAGAGTGTTCCAGCTCTGTCAGATGCTAGCGGCCCCACAGGGGCATTCTGTAACCGGTGGTACCTGGTGAAAACCCCCCCTCCTTCCCCCCAGGTACATCACTATCCTTGTGTCACAGGGACAGGAAGTAAAATAAATCCTCTCCAGTGGGGTCACCAATAGTTATAATTCTTCTCCAGTCTATTTACAACATTTTAGCTTTTTTGGCCTTAGAAAGACCAAGGATTTCTCAATGAAGATGATGAATACTAAACCATGACCTGGGGAGAGCACAGACCATTTCACAAGAAGTCGGTGAGAGAGCAGACAGGATTATCCCACCCCTGGGATCCCACCACGAAGTGTGCTACATCCTGCAGGCTGGGGAGGGGGAGGCTGATGTCTTATTCTGGTCATTCAGCACAGCAGTGCTTTCTAAAAGGCCACATTGAGGAATCCTGAACAGCTAATACTGAGCGCTCCTTCTGGGTACATAGAGGTGACAGGTTCTCTTTAGAACACCCTCTTTGCAGTGCGGTCTATAGGCAATACAGCAATGTACACAGACCCTGTATCGCTGTCTAGTGGCCCCAGCAGCATATATACTGTATTGTTCAAGTAATATGTCACGTAGGTATTTGTTACATCTCACAGAGATCACAATACTCCCCCTGACAGTGTATTTTTTCTGCTTTTTTTCTCTAGAAGGACAGCACCATCTTTGTTCAGGCCTCATCCAGGGTCACCAACTACTTCCTGGGCTGAGATTCTGGCTCAGAGATGACACAATCATGTAAATCCTGGTGCCTGTGCAGTTCTTGGCTGTGTTCGTAAATGTCTGACACAGACCAGCCCCCTGCTGCAGCCTCTCACCTTGTGACTTTCTACAAAGTTACAATGTACAGTCTGATCGCTGGGGCGGAAGGGGGGGGGGGCTAATGACATCATCTAAGTCTAGGCAAAATTACTGGATTTTAGCTTTAAAGATGGTTTTTTAATGATAAAAGCCCATTTTGCTGCATGTCTGACATGTCAGGACTGTATCTGTGCGGCTGGGTGAGGTTACTGAAGGTCCACTTTAATTTCAGAAGGGCCCCATAAACCTGCATCTTGGCATTGGATAAAGATGCTGAACCATCATGGCTGCCAGCTCCCTCCTTGTCCACAATCCCCTTTTATTGCCGGAAATATTCTTGAACCCGGCCTCAGCCTTGCACCACCAGTGATAGCCCTGCCTGCCCTATCCACATCCCTGCAGCCAATCAGTGATAGCCCTGCCTGCCCTATCCACATCCCTCCACCCAATCAGTGACAGCCCTGCCTGCCCTATCCACATCCCTGCAGCCAATCAGTGATAGCCCTGCCTGCCCTATCCACATCCCTCCACCCAATCAGTGACAGCCCTGCCTGCCCTATCCACATCCCTCCACCCAATCAGTGATAGCCCTGCCTGCCCATTCCACATCCCTGCAGCCAATCAGTGATAGCCCTGCCTGCCCTATCCACATCCCTCCACCCAATCAGTGATAGCCCTGCCTGCCCTATCCACATCCCTGCAGCCAATCAGTGATAGCCCTGCCTGCCCTATCCACATCCCTTCACCCAATTGGTGATAGCCCTGCCTGCCCTATCCACATCCCTTCACCCAATTGGTGATAGCCCTGCCTGCCCTATCCACATCCCTTCACCCAATTGGTGATAGCCCTGCCTGCCCTATCCACATCCCTCCACCCAATTGGTGATAGCCCTGCCTGCCCTATCCACATCCCTCCACCCAATCAGTGATAGCCCTGCCTGCCTTGTCCACATCCCTCTGCCCAATCGGTTATAGCCCTGCCTGCCCTATCCACATCCCTCCACCCAATCGGTGATAGCCTGCCTGCCCTATCCACATCCCTCCACCCAAACAATGATAGCCCTGCCTGCCTTATCCACATCCCTACACCCAATCAGTGATAGCCCTGCCTGCCCTATCCACATCCCTACACCCAATCAGTGATAGCCCTGCCTGCCTTATCCACATCCCTCCACCCAATCAGTGATAGCCCTGCCTGCCCTATCCACATCCCTACACCCAATCGGTGATAGCCCTGCCTGCCCTATCCACATCCCTCCACCCAATCGGTGATAGCCTGCCTGCCCTATCCACATCCCTCCACCCAATCGGTGATAGCCTGCCTGCCCTATCCACATCCCTCCACCCAAACAATGATAGCCCTGCCTGCCTTATCCACATCCCTCCACCCAATCGGTGATAGCCCTGCCTGCCTTATCCATGTCCCTCCACCCAATCAGTGATAGCCCTGCCTGCCTTAGCCACATCCCTACACCTGATCAGTGTCGCCCCCTGCTGCCAGTGACAGAATTGTTCTGATGTGCAGTTCCCCTGGGACAGACATACCTAGACTTTGCGCCGCCTCCTGCGTTTATGGAAAATTAAAACACGAAATAACTCAGTGGGGGGACAAAGATTAGAAGCAGGATTTTTGCAGCCAATAATAGGGCGTCTGGCCTATTACAGGAGCAGCGTGTTCACTGCGTTATTTTGGTGTGTGGAAAGTATGTGTCACTCAGCGGAGCTGGGGTCTGCTTACTGAGCCCCTGCCACTGCTGTGCTGCATTACATGAAACCGACTCCGAGAGAAATACCGGGCCTGCCGCTGCTGTCCTCTCCTTCAGAAAATGCTAGCTGACTGGCTGTCATGGTAATCAGTGGCTGATGATCTGGAACAAGTATACCTGCGTGTGGAATCGGAACCCCTGATCTGCATGCACA